ACGCATCTACCCTCACCTCCACCCTCACTTCCTCCCCCAGACCTGCCTGCCACTTGGATAGGGGCAGATGCCATGTGCTCCCTCTCCCAGGAAGATACAGGCCCCTCTAATAAACCTTATAATAATCTTTCTCCAGTGCCTGCCTGCCTGCCTCTGGCATGATCCCCTGGGCTAGTCATCAAGGATTCCTACATTTAGTATTGTTTTATTTCACACTATCAAGATAGAATCTTTCATAGTTGGTCACATACCAGATCAGAACCACAATCATTCTCAAGAGAAAAAAAGTTTAAGCTCTTTACTCTTTCCAGACAAATAAGGCAACTCTGAGAGCTTTCTAAGGAGTTAAATCAAATAGCTGTCATAACACTTCTAGGAAAGTCCCAAGAGGAAGTTTTCTTGCCAACTTCAGAAAGAGCTATTTATCATCCCAAAAAGAGAATTCATTCTAAACTGGGAAAGAATGAGCTGAAATTCCCTGTGCTTACAGAGATATTACCTATAGAGTAAGTATTACTTTTTCTTTTTTGAAAGGCAAGCTAGGTCTCCAAATAAAGTAGTTTCTGATATGAACAGTTTGACAAAAAATCATTAATGGAAAGAAAATGCTAATCTAATTAAAGCTTTAAAAATCATAAAGAACTGGGAGAGAGCAAAGAAAGGAGTGGTAATGTCCAAAAAGAAATGTACTCATTACCTAACTTAGGTAACTGTAAGCAGTCCAGGAAGATCTCTTATGAGACTCTTAGCTCCAAAAACAGGCAAAAAGCTAGAAGCAGAACTCAAATGTAGAGCACTAGCCTTGGGCAAAAAGGCTCAGAGATAGCACCCAGGCCCTGAGTTCAAGCCGCAAAATAGAATGAGATCAAGATCTTATGAATCATTTGCTTCATGTTAATGCAGCTTAAACTTGCATTAGCTTGCCAAAAAATGACAAAGTACCAGGATATTCTGGAAGAGCCATTGCATCACTTCACCAGAGCTATTATCCTTATTTACCGGATTTCTATTATCAAAAGAATTAAAAATACTACTGTTACTGGGGTTTGTTTTCTTCATTGATAATGGAAGAATGTTTTATTTCAGATAAAGGTTAGTGGAAGAATACATGATTTTTTTTATCCTGTTCATTCACAGAACCCCTGTGATGCCTGATTAAGTGAATTAACAATATTATCTACCTTAATTAAGATTATGCAATGCAAGATATGTTGTGTAAGACATATCCCACTGTCAAAATGTACTAGGATGAATGCTGGGAGCCCTAAAAGTGGTGAAGGCTTGAACTCCAGTTGCTGGCACCAATAGGAGGTGGTGAACCCTGAGGAGATAGAAGTAGGGCCTAATTAGAAAAAGTAGGTCATTGTGATACATGCCTATGTAGGATACATGCCAATGTAGGATACATATACTGAGACTCTAGTCCTTCCTCCCTTTTTTTCTGCTTCTCAGCTACAAGATCCCTGCCATAATGTTTTGCCTCACTTCACAACCAAAAATAATGGAGCTAAATGACCATGAATTAAAATCTCTTGAAACTGTGAACAAAAATAAAACGTTCTTTCTTTGAGATGGTTCTTTCAGATACAGTGTCATAGTATCTGATGGAAAGCTAACACAGGTAGCTGCTATTAATAATGTCCACAAAGCCAGGCACTTGGTGGCTCAGGCCAGTAATCCTAGCTACTCAAGAGACTAAGATCTGAACATTTGCCCGCACAAGTAGTAAAGTCTGTGAACTAAAGCCTCTAATTAACCACTAAAAAGCAGGAAGTGAAGGTGTGGCTCAAATGGTAGAATGCCAGACTTGAATGAAAAAGCTAACTGACAGAGCAAGACCCAGTTTGATCTCTCTCCCTCTCCCTCTCTCCTTTCCTCCCCCCTCTCTCCCTCTCTTCTTCACCCTCTCTCTCTCTCTCTCTCTCTCTCTCTCTCACACACACACACACACCAAATCCACAATTTGTCATCACTTTTTATATTTTTGATCAGATGTCATGAAGATAATTTCCATCGTAAACATAAAACCATAAGCAGACAAGATAAGGAAGCGGTAACAAATGGAAAAAGAATGTTTCTTCTTTTATGTCAGTCTTATCCCATCCTAGTACTACTTTCTAAGTTAGTATTAAAGATAGATTGGTTTAGTAATTCTAGCCTTTTTCCAAATAAAAATGTTTTCATGCCATCAAATTCTCTCCCATTAGCAATGAGAATGTGACCTAGTATTCATTCTCATTAGCATACTCATTAATTATTACATGATTAGATACTATCTCAGTACTCTAATTCTGCTATCCTAGGTATACCTCTCACTTTGTTGATTTGCTAATAAATGAACTCTGTTAACATGCAGCAGCAAATGAACATTCCACATCTCATAGGACAACTAAGTGAAAAGGTGGAAGAAAGCAATTCTTTTAAATGAATCTCATTACCCTTAAGTCTTAAGGCATTTTACATTTGATCTACCACTATTATACCCATTTAACAGCAAGCATACTATGACTTGTCAAACATCACATTACTGGGAGCATGAATGGTCTCCTGAGGAAATGGTCTCTACCCTAATACTGCTTCCCATCATGATTAAATTCAATACACAGGGAAAAAATATCTTTGCAGGTTTGCAGAACAAAAAGAAGAAGGCACACAGCAGTACAATATACCAGTACAATACAAGAATACTAGGGACAATATATGATAACAAAACAATTATGTTCGAACTTTTTAAAAATAATTTCTAAATGAAAAGATCACAAGCAATCCAAAAGATTCTTAGCAGAAGGTACTGTATTTCCTTTTCTCCCATTGTCCCTAGAGCCTTTCCTTACACAGTAGAGCACTTATCTAATGGCCAACCATTAGCAGATCAACTGTCTGAGGCAGTCCAATAACAGAAACTACACCCAACATTAAAAGGCATATGGGTCCTCTTCAGACCAAGTTACTTTTACTTCAGTCTAATAATTTCTCACCCTTATTAGATTCAACCTCTTCCTTAAAGTTCTTTTCCCAATTTCTGCTTTACCATCTTGAAATAAAATGATTAACAATCTTCCTATAGACTATTTCAAATCCATCTATCCTAACAAAATATAAACGAAAAAGAAAAGTGATTACAATAAGCATGGATATATAAATGTCTGGACAAAACAATTAGTAGCCATGTAACATGATTACTCTAAATGCAAAATTGGTTTTTGAGACAATTTTGCAAAACTGTTAACAATTATTGATCAAACAGTAAACAAGACAAAGCCTCCTTGAACTGACACCACAGTTGTAAAAGCAGGAAAATCAGTACTTCAAATGTAAGTGGGTTTAGGCTCAGATAATTACAAGAATTACATGGCAGGCAAGATATTCCTAAATCATGAAGGATATGGGAAAATTCTTTTTCTAGGTCTGTCTCACATAAAGTTTTTTTTTTTTTAAAAAAAAAAAAGGAGCATTCCTGGCTTAATTCATTACAACAATCCAAAAAATGCTTCCTAATATATCGGTAGAGGCAATCTCCACTGGGAGCCAATGCCTTAAGACCTAATTCAGCTATCTATTTATCACACAGCAAATGTGGATTAGAGTCTTGTCTGTTACAAATGAGAATGTGTTCACTGGCCAGTGGGTGAACTTCTCAGAACCTCAGTTTCTATAATATTAAAGAGAAAAAACACACCTGGCTTTCTGAAATGCCTGAATGACTCAACATTTGGTAGGTGATTTCCAACCCATGGCCTACTGAGATCAGAAGGGGACTGCGTCAGGTAAACAGAAGAAAACCAGCAAAAGGAAGCATAAATTGAAAAAGGCCAGGAGCTGTAAGATATACAACATATAAAATGAAGCTAAAGGGCTCAAGAAATGCCTGAAAACATTGATACTATTTACAACTCACCAAAATGATACTCATGACACCCCCTCAAAGTAAAAAAGCAAGACCAGATATACATTTCTAAGAGACTTCTCTCTCACTGAGGTCTGAAATACACATGACTGAAATATTTGTTTGATACTTAAGAGAATATTTTTATTGGGTCTTTACCCTATCATGGGCCAGATACTTGGACATACGCATGTTATTGAACATTTTATTATCCATCTAGTAGATTAGCCAGTAAGTGTAAGGAAAAAAAGGAAAATGAAGCAGTAAACCATGAGGGCACTGAGAAAAATCAAGGACATTTTGACTGCCACGGAGGCATTCAAAATGCAGGGATGACTGCAGTAAAAATTAAGGATGTAAAGACAATTTGAAAGACATTGAAATGCACTTAAGGTATATACTAGACAAGAAAATTCCCCTAGAAAACTGATGCTATGTGGTACACATGAGCTGCAACTAAATGCTGAATACAGCCAAAACTAAGACTTAGACAAATGTCAGTATTATGACTTGTAAAATAAAATATATCAATATAAATAAGCAAAAAGAGCTGAAGCAGTTTGTAATTTCCTCATTTCTTGTTGGGGGAAGGAGGTGAAGGGGGGGGGGATGAAATGAAACCAAGAGCAAAACACATGGTGAGCAAGTGCTATACTAATAAGCTAAACCACCCTCAACCCTGATCTCTTTTCTTTCATAATCAAGATATTACTTAATTGGTTGACCCTGGGAACTAAAAACTGAAGATCATCTTTACCTAACACTTGGTTTTATTCCAAGCAAGTCAGACTGCTTCTTAAAACATATTATTTAGCAGTGCCTCCTATCACTCCTGAAAGCAAGAGGTAAGGTACAGTATTATTAGCCTCTTTTTATTATGAGGAAACTGAGGAACAAAAAATAAATGAAGTAAGTGTGTCACGAACCAAAGGATCACATTTTTCTACTGCTTTCATGAAAGGCTCCAGGCCCATGTTTCTTCTTTTCTTCTTCCTATTTGAATAGTAGGGAAATCTACAAAACTGGTTTAACTGAGAGCAAAAAGTAAATAAATAAGACGAACGGTAACTTTAAGGTCGTGTTCCCAATCTAGTACTGACAACGACGACGACAACCTAACAGAAGTTTCCATATTCTCCTTGTAAATGGTACTTGCAATAACTGGAAGGCGTAAGTAGTAATCCAACCTTGTAATCAAGAATCCTAGGTCCAGCTTTTGCTTTTGCTCTTGCTCCGAGTGTCTGGCAGGCTTACGGAAATACTGGAAATCCGTGTCTGTAAAACAACCTTTGCACAGGCTCCGAGGCAAAGGTGCCCTTAAGAGGCCCAGCACAGCAATCCCATTACACCCACTACCGCAAACAAGAAACCCCGTGCTCTCCTCGGCCCCTCCCCGCACTGCACCAAGGGCCGCGAGGCACACCACCGAGAGGCCTGTGCAAAGCGTTCCCGACCTTATTCCGGTTCCCCTTGAAATGCGGTACCCCGTAAGGATGCCCTTGGTGCCCAGGCCTCCTCCAACGCGTGGGGACCGGATGTAGACCAGCACTTCTCAAAATCCTGGCTCCCCAGGATCTAAAGCCCGATCCAAACGATTCCATCCGACACGGCTCCTGCTGAACACTTCCTTTCCCCCCCCGCCCCCTAACCCACACACACACATGCAGTAAACGACCCCTACCCTCAAGTCCGGGTCGTCGGCCTCCCACCTCCTCTCACCACCGGACGGGCGTCCCAAGGCCTCGGGGAGGCGGGGAAGGGAGGGTTAGAGCGCCAGGGCGGCGATCGGGCCGCGGCTGCGAGGCCGGGAGGCTCTGGCAAGGGTCCTCCCAGTCCAGATCCCCCACACCCGCCGCTTGGCCCCGGCCTGGCCCACGTTCCTCCTCCTCCACCACCGCCACCGCCACCGCCGCCGTCGC